TAAAGCTTACTCCAATTCCCGAGGCGAGCCAAAAGAAAGAAAATAGTTAGAAAAATGCATAATCCTAGCTAATGAAATATGCCTAATGAAACACATGCAATTTAGAAGTCTAGCTACTAGCATGGCATGTGAATCAATTTGATAGCATGCAGTTTTAAACACGTATTCAAAGAAGTATTTATACTACAATGCTTGTTGGAGCGATGAGCCGAACTTTATGCATGCAAGACACATGGATGCAAACATGGGAAATGCTAAACGAAACATAATGTTCTAAGCTAACCATCATAAGCAAGTAAATAAAAGGGAGAAAGATGTGGAGTTGGAAGTCATATACATTATTACATTTTTGCCCTCGCGCAGGAGGATCCGAATAAATGGACTAGCTAAGCTAATTACCTAATTATTACAAACCAAATGAATAAGTTAACTAATTAGCTAATTATTACAACAACAAATTTAACCAACTACTTTAGCTAATTAAATAAGTACAACACCAAAACTAATTAGCTATTATAACTAATTAGTTACAAATTTATTACTCCAAGCAGAACAGATTACTATTACAACATCGCTTCACGGATCCCAAGAATCGAGGGATGGTTTATGCATGGATGCGGATTTCCACCTGATAATGCTCTCCGTTTTGCTATTGGAATGCCTCTGTTGCACAGTTAAAAAATTGGACATGTTTTCCACCTCAGCCTTTGATCTACTCTACTGAAAAAAGGACACTGCCTGCATGAAAAAGTGGTCAGCAACCTAGAAGTAGTGGCCGGTAGGCCACTAATAGTGGGTTGACGTCCAGTAAAAGTGCCTGCCGGCTATTGATGTTGGTTCTTTCCTGCAGCAATAGAGGACAAACAAAACACAAACCAGAGTAGTCTCAGGGGATGTTTGTCCATCCTGCCTCTCCTTATCAGCAAACAGGTCAAAGGAGGGGTAGGCTTGATTCGCAAGCCATCAATCTATTTAATAAGGAAAACACTAAAAAGTTCAAGTCCCATGTGTTCAATTAACGTCCGATTGAACACCAAATTATTTTATTATCTTGGTCCATTTTATCCCAATTTTAATTACCTCTTTTAATTACCTTTCCATTCCTTAGTCAATTGAGTCCAATAATGAGCTTTAAGTCCACTAATGGAGAGAAGTACCAACCCAAATGTTGTTTTAGGCATGAGAGGGAGATCATGCCGTTGGTAATGAACCCCTAAAGGGATTAAACCATTAAGCACAATATCACCCCTTCAAGCTTAAATTAAACAACACTCCTTTTGGAGCGACTCTCAAAACAAAGAGATAAAGTCAAGAAATGATGGAGGTTACAAAGATTTTTAGAGGTGAACACAAGTATGGAAAACAAGAAGTAAAGGCTATCAACTCAAATAGGTTGGTGGCTAAGGCTTAAACCACCAAACCTATGAGGACCATTACACTACAAGAATACTATACAAAGCTTAAATGACATGACCAGTAGCTAAAAGAGTAAGCTAAAATAATGGAGAAATTAAGTTAGTAAACAAGCCAAAGGAGGGGTGGGTAACCCCTCCATTTTTGGAACTTCAAAACCACTTTTTTAGCCTATGAAAACCACTGAAAATTAGCGGTAAAAAGCTCAAAAAAAGTTGAGAAAAGAATGAGAAACACAAGGGCAAAAGCTTAGAGAACAAGGTTCAAAGAAGGGTAGTTAATCCCTCCACCTTTGATAGCTTTAAACCACAAGTTTCAGCCCATAAAAATAGTCCAAAAACAATTCAAAAACAACAAGAAAAGATAAGGCAGAAGTAGTGTAGAGATGCTCAAAATTATACCCCTTGAAGCAAGGCAACTCTTTTGTTCACAAACCACAAAGCTTACACTCTCAAGGGCTGAAATTTGGACTCAATAATCTCAGCAATGAGAGCTCCAATATTGGTTTAAGAAGTGTTTGGATAAGGTGTGTGTGTTGCAAGATAGAGATAGAGAGAGAATTTCAAGTTTTGGTCCTTAAGGAATTTTTTCTAACCTAAAACCAAGAGGGTTGGCCAAGTATTTATAGAAAAGCAGTCTCTCAAGTCGGAAATATCTGTATAGGATAGGGGTGGGCGCGGATCGGTTGCGGCCACGAAACTTCCAATCCGTCATCCATCCGCTAGATTGGCGGATTGGAGAAAATCAATCTGCATCCGTCCGCCAATTCGGCGGATGCGGATTTGGCAGATGGATACAAATCGGTTTGGCGGTTTGAAATTTTACAATTTTTCAACGAAAAACAAAAAACAAAAAAAAAACTCGCTACCCCACCCGAACCCGAAAAATGCCATAAACTAGGTTGGTGTGTAGCTATTTCAACATACAACAACCTGAGACAGTAGCAACATGTCATTCATGGAAGTTCTCACCACCTACATAAGATGTGAGGCGGCACCATTAATAGGTAGACATAAGTTGGTGCCATTTCTTCTCAAACATTAACAGCATACAAAACTTATTGACTGAAGCCAATACTAGGAGAGAATCTATCTGAGTATCTGAATGTAATATTAGATTGGACCTTAGAAAAAAGATCAATGGACTAATGGAATGCAAGTGTTGCATTTGATTAATTCAAATTCAATTGTAGAATACAAGTTTATTTCATTTGAATATATATAAATTGATAAAGTATGATTAGGAAATAAATTGTAGAGCAGCTTTGCAAGTCCAAAGTCACCTGTACATTTAATATTTATGATCATGAGATCAAAAACTGCTTGGAGGACCATATACATCAATCAAAACATATTCATTCTTTTTGCCTTCTTAATCTGTGCATTTCAAGTGTACATAACCTAGGCATTTCAAGTGTACATAACCTGTGCATTTCAAGTGTGCAATTCAAATTCACAATAACCTGGGCAACTTCCTAAAAAATAAGCATTGCATCCAAAGTTCAAAGTTCAACCTAGGCAATTCAAAGTTCAACCTAGGCAATTAAAATAAGCTGGGCAATTCACAACAATCTAGGGCAACTTCAACATAATTCATTTTTATTGATTCCAGTAGGCAATGCAAAAAACAAGCTGGGCATCCAAAGTTCAATGTTCTAGTGGGCAATGCAAAAACATAATTCATTACAGTCATCCAAAGTTGAAGTTGAAAATCATCCAAAGTTTAAAAAAAAAAAAAAATACAGTCATCCAAAAAGAAGCAAAAAAGTCATTAATTTGCTTGAGCCAAACCATGAGCCATCTAAACCTGCATAACAAAAAAAATGAAATTATTTAATAAGGAAAACACTAAAAAGTCTTAAACTTAAAACAAATAAACATATGTTAACAACATTTAGCAAAGGGGAGGGGTATTTTACCATGATATTAAACTTCAATAAAATTAGGTTCCGGACTTGGGCTTGAACAAGAACTTGATTCTGAAACAACTACACATAAAACATAACACAAGAAAAACATGTGAAGTGGAAATAATGAATTTTGAATAATACATAATAAATGAAATTTAAAACAAAATAAATCATTGAATGTATTACCTGAATCATATTGTTGTTCAAATTCGTCAATATCATTCATTGCTTGTCGAAGGCATATTGGAATGTTACTTTGGAGCCAATTTTGTGCACAAACAAGAACCTCCACCATCTTTGGAGCAAGTGAACTTCGAAATGGATCAAGTATACGACCTCTTGTACTAAAAGCCGACTCAGAAGCAACAGTGGAAACAGGCATTGCCAACACATTTCGTGCTATGAGTGATAATACTCTATACTTTGTTGCATTAACCTTCCACCACTCCAAGATGTCAAATTGAGCATTCTTCCCACCTTTCTCAATATCACCTAAGTACTTGTCCAATTCTGACATACTCCCACTACTAGAAAATTGCCCCTCCAAAAATGAGTTAAATTGAGAGTTCACAAGAGAATGTGGGTCATTTTCATCTATCACCATAACTACTGTTTCATTTACATTGGAGGCATGCACATTTGTTGAATCAAGCGCGGCATAATGATCATACAATTTACTCAAACAATTTTTCACATTCTCTAACATTTCTTTCACTTTCACAACATCTCCACCAAAAATTGTTGAAAAACAAAATTGCAAGTATGTCATTTTTCTTCGAGGGTCAAGAACAACCGCAATGTACAAAAGGAGATTGATTTTATCCCCATTTTCCCAATACTTGTCAAACTTCTCTTTCATTTTCTTTGCCATTGAAGACAAAATAGGATCATTGTCTTTGATTAATTGTCCAATCATATTTTCAATGACAAAAATTTCAGTGTAGAATGTATTTGAAGTAACAAATAAAGAGTCAGAAAATCTCTTTGTTGCATTGTAGAACATTCTAAGAAATTTCAAAAACACCCTACAATTATCCCAATCATCGGCGGTAGGCATCTCTCTCTTCTCACCCCCTTCATTATCCAAAAAGTAGTGTTTATAATTGTAGTCCTCCTCACCCATTCTTTGAAAAGCACTTTCAAATTTTTCTACCGCTTCCAACATAAGATATGTAGAATTTCACCATGTTGGCACATCTAGGCACAAGAGACTCTTACTCTCAATTTTCAAACTTTCCACATACTTCTTAAAAAAGTCAAGGCAGTTTGGAGAAGATCTCACATACCTCACTGCATACCTCACATTCGCTATACAAGGCTCAAGATCCTTCAATCCATCACTAACAATGAGATTTAGAATATGCGCACAACAACGCATATGCAAAAATTCATGGACCAAGACAGTTCCCTTTCACAATTTTGTGGTTCGTTTCAAGAATCTAATGGTTAGATTATTGGAACTCGCATTATCAACAGTTAAGGTGAAAAGGCCATCAATGTCCCACTCTTTTAAGAATGCCTCAATTTTTTACCAAGTGTTTCTCCTTTGTGGTCTTCAACTTGACAAAAATTTATGATTCTCTTTTGTAACTTCCAATCATCATCAATGAAATGTGCAGTTAGACACATATAACACAAATTTTGTATGGAAGTCCATGTGTCTGTGGTAAAGCAAATTCTACACCCCTTCACAATTTTTTTTCAACCTCTCTCTTTCATTAGTGTATATGTCTACAATGTCCCCAGCAACAGTATATCGAGATGGGATCTTGAACTTGGGTTGCATGACATTACAAAACCTCTTAAAACCAACCCCATCCACAAATCTAAAGGGCAATTCATCAATTATTATCATCTCGGCAAGATGCCTCCTAGCAACTTCTATGGAAAATGGCATAACCACAATATCAACAACACCCTCACCATCACTGCCAACTTCTCTAGGTTGAAATCCCAATGTTTGTTGCCCATGAGTGTCCCTATATGGATATTTTGTACAATTTTTCAAATGACTTAACAAATTACTTGTTCCATGACTCTTAGAGCCTGTCATAGATTATCAAATAAACTGCCAACAACCAATAAAAAATCATTCAAAATATGCTTTTCAAATCCATGCCCTTTTTGAAAAACAACCATCAGACTCTTTGTCTATGTTTGAACATGTTAAATGGCATATGAAGATAAAAGAAGGATATTAAATGGACAGAGTTTAATGTTCACTGACTAATGAGATTAGTTTAAACTAAGTAAGATGAATCAGTAAGTTTAAACTGACTAATGTTCACTTAGTAAGATTAGTTCACTGACTAATGTTCACTGACTAATGAGATTAGTTTAAACTAAGTAAGATGAATCAGTAAGTTTAAACTAACTAATGTTCACTGACTAATGTTCACTAAGTAAGATTAGTTCACTAACTAATGTTCACTGACTAATGAGATTAGTTTAAATGTTCACTAATTTATTATGAATCAAATTTTACAGAACAGAACAGAACTAAGTTTAATGTTCACTAATATATTATGAATCAAAGTTTAATCTTTAAACAAAATTAGTTCACTGACTAAATTACAGAACATAACTAATATATTATCATAATTTGATTCATAATAATAATATATTAAATTTTAATATTTAAACAAACTAAGTAATATATTATCATAATTTGATTCATAATAACAAATTTAGTTCACTGACTAATATATTATCATAATTTGTTATCTGATAATAACAAAACAGATTGTTCAAAACAGAACAGATTAATTCCAGATTGTGAACGGATTAAAACAGATTCTGAATCAAAAAAGATTCTATGAAGTCCCTCACAAAATCCACTGCAGAAGCAAATAACAAAAAAAATAAACCAAACCTCTCTGTGGTTTTCTCTCTGTATTCCTTTCTCTGTGTGTAGAACCCTTAACAGTTAACACTGTGTCAATCAATCTAACCACGTCTCTAAAAAAAAGATTAGACTCTAAAAGATTAGAAGTTTAAAACTGGAACCAAAAAAAAAAAAAAAAACCAGTTAAGATTCAGAAGAAGAAGAAGAAAAAGAAGAAGGAGAGAGAGAGAGAGAGAGAGAGAGAGAGAGAGAGAGGTACCTCAGTTACAGTCAGTGTAGTAGACTGTAGATCGATCAATCTAACCATCTATTTTGTTTTAAAAAAAAAAACAGATTAGACTCAGATCAGAAAAAGAGAAGAAAAGAGAAGAAGAGGAAAGCAGAAGAAGATGAGAAGAAGAGGAAAACAGTAGAAGATGAAAAGAAGAGAGAGAGAGATACCTCAGTCTGTAGTGTAGATTGATCGTCGACGCCGTGTAGATCGTCCGACGATGGGTAGGGTACACAGAGAGAGAGAGAGAGAGAGAGAGAGAGAATGAGAATGTCTGTCTGTCGAAAATTAGGGCAAAATGAGCTATGCGTATCAGAAAGGAAAAGGAGGAAAAATGAGGCATATCAGCCAAAAATAAATAAATAAATAACCAATTGTGGTCAGGTCGGGTTTGCTGACTAAAATGACGGATCACCCGCCACCTGACCCGAACCCGAAAAATGTCATAAACTAGGCCCGCACCCGCCCACCACGTGGCACGCATCCATCCAAAAATGTTCGTCTCCAATGAGCTAAAATAATTCGCCCCAATGCAAATGAAATTGGCACCTCATTTTTGCACACAAAATTTTGTTTTCGTCACCTATACTTTTGAGAAAAATTAAAACAAACGACAAAATTAATATTTCGTCATCTTTGGCTTAAATTTTAAGACAAAAAAAAATTCGTCACCAAATTTTGTCACAATAGCCTAGATTTCTTGTATTTTTTATTGATTTTAAGCATTTGGTGACGAAATTTGGTTTTCCTCTCTAAAAATAATACATTTGGAGACGAAATTATTTCCTCTCTAAATTTTTTTACAATGGTGACGACAAATTTCATCTCCAAAATGGCGCCAAATCTTCCACCAAATTTTCCAAGGGCGGGAAATTGTTTTGTGACGAAAAATAAAATTTAGAGACGAATAAAATTTTCGTCACCTATTGTTTTATTTGATTTTAAGCATTTGGTGACAAAATTTGGTTTTCCTCTCTAAAAATAATACATTTGGAGGCGAAATCTTATTTTCATCACTAAAACATGTATATTTGGAGACGAACTATTTTTTTGTCACGCGTTTTTGTCACCATAGACCTTTTTTGTTGTAGTGTGTGGCGGGTCAATGGATCCGCTGCACAGCCCTAGTATAGGAACAGCTGGGGCTTTTGGGGGACAACTGGCAATAAATATCTTCAAATAAATATCTGCATTTTACACAACTGGCCAGCAAGCCACTAATGGTGGCCGGCAATAGTAGGTTGCCGGTCATAAAACTACTTTTAGGCCAAACTTCAAACGAGCATATCTCCTTCATCCAGACTCGGTTTCAGGTGATTCTTGAGTCTAAATTAAAGTCCTGAAAGTCTACTTTTCAATAGTGGCAGCCTTATGCTTAAATTCTAAGTGCACAAAGAGATATGCCTATCTTAGTGAAGACTACTCATTTATGTCCTAACAGATTGATGTCCAACTTCTTTCCCAACTAGCTTTCTTCCATCCTCTCATATTTTCTTTAACTCCAAACCTATAAATAAGATGTTTTAAAGATTTTTTCAAAGAGTTCACCTCCCTTCCATTTATTTCCATTTTGTCCTTGCTCGGTTTACCAAAAAGTGCAATATTTTAAACGAAATGCGAACCTTGGAACATCACAGAAACATTTGGAAAAATATTTTGCAAGAGAAGGTTTGAAGGTCTAAAATAGTTTTGGTTCAAAAATGGGGTGTAAGGTTGGGATTTAGATGCTCTTCTTGTTAAAGAAATTGAACGTTTATACAGTGAAACTTTCATCATCAAGTTATTAACCTGAGGTGCCCAAGTCTTAAGGGCGGTAAAAAATGGGGTGTCTACAATACCTAATCCAATATATTTCACAAATAGGTTTAACATACCTTCCAAAGTAGTTTTTGTTGTTAATTATTATTATTATTATTTTTGTCACTTTCTCTCATATTATCATACCAATTTACTACTATAACCGTAAAAGCTATGTTCAATATAATTTTAAAAACTTTGCATGCGCCATGTGCTACTGTAGATATTTAAGACATGGTGCATGTCACTCTTCCATTATTTTATTACCTCACTTGTATTTGTAGCACAATCAATATCTAATAAATATCCTGTA